CTGCGTCTCTGCACTCACGGCCTGATCCCCTCTCCCCCGTATACCGGTACATATTCAGTAGGATGGAAGCGTTGGACATCGAACAGGCAAAGATAGACTCCGAAGATGTCTACTGACCAGGTAACGTCTGAGTGAATGCCTGCTAGTGCCTTCCATTGAGGCTGCTTCTTATGTCGCTGATGTATGTGACGTTGCGCCGTAAAGCAATTTGTGATTCTCGCGAGATTTGGCGGGGCGCCACCTTTCAGACTTGCATTGCTGGTTCTGCCAGCGGCGTCCCTCTCCTGCTTTGCTATCAGGATGATTCGCTATACTACGAGTTCGTTTACCATCGAAATGACTTTGAAGCTGTTATAATAAAGGTAAAAATCTTGCATAGTGTGCCTTTAACATCAAACAAATAACGCTCAAGTCAACTTTCTGATTATTTAAAGATGAGAAACTAGTTAATCCTAGAGGAAATGGGTAACCTCTCCAAAACTGCTCCAATGTCTTTGTAATTGAGATCTCTCTGCCTATTGCCGGCATTTGGTGGGCTAAAGCCATTTAGAGAAGAGTACGAGCTATTTGTTTTAGTGGGAAGAAACACGAGTTGTGTTCAAGGGTCCTGTGGTTTGTAGAGGATTTATTTCCATTCTGTAGTCCCAGGATACCTGCTGTAGTGTTGCCTTCCTAGATCTTTGTGTTTTATTTAGCCCATTGTGATTCACCTAGGTCATATATTGCTTCTCTGTGGTAGCCTTTAATGCTATTTTAAAGAACAATGTTGCACCCTTTAAGGCAAACTAGATTTTCAACTTCTTCTTTATCTTATTCCTCAGGCACTTAAAATGTACATCTCCAGGTGACACCTGATTTAGTGTGTATGTACCGTATGTGTGTGTGCAACCCTGTCCTCTATTTAGATAAGTACCATTTGCCTTCCTCACTAGGTTAAAGGCTGTGATGATCATCCAGTTCTCAATGTAATCTGTTATTGTGTAGACCTCCCATTTAAATTTTATTACTCATGGTTACCAGTATTGCTTAAGTGTGCCAGCATCCAGAGAAAGAAATGGGTGGAAAAGGTTTTTCTCTACCATTCCAGACATTTAACACTGATGTTTTACATTGATGAAAGTTTTTAAAAATCAAGGTTAGAGAGATGAATAAAATGTAAAACCAAGTGGTGTATTTAATTAAATTAAGATAAGGATTCTTTCTTCAAGGGAGAACTGGCTGAGAGCTGAAACTACAGCACTTGAACTTGCGGTGTCAATGTCATCAATTGTCTATCATTTTGAAACACTGAAAAAATATTTGTTTAAAAAAAGGTTTCCCCTTGAAACCGATGTCATTCTTTGAATTTGTTCTTAGAGTGTGGTTTACACGTGGGTGTTATTGTGAATGATCTTCTAGCATAAGTATGGAATAAATTGAAACTTGGCTGAACTAATTTAAATGTATATTGGATTAAACTGTTACATTTTTCTGAATGATGATGCTCCCTGTGGAAACATGCAGAAATAAGGTGCAAAGCTTTTGGCGAAGAAAGATTTTTTTTGATTCATTATTACAGTGCACTGAAAAGGATTAGATGAGTCAGTCTTTTTGCAAACTTCTTGTGCAAGTATGTTCTTTCTGAAATTGAGAGCAGACCAAATTAATTGCTGTACAGCTTTGTAAATGAGTCAGTAAACTGAGCATAAGTTGCAGTTATACTTGAGCTTCTTCACAGTAATTTCAACCGCAACCCAAACGTTTTGTGTTCATGTATTTGATGACTGATGTATTTGTCTGGAACATTAATGTGTATCTCTGAGAGGCGTGATGTGTGAGAATCAATAATGGGGAAAAGGGTCTATCGCACACATAAATTCAGCTCTAACATGTTGTGTGTGTGCGCTTTATCAGTCTTGCTCGTTAAGTGGTAGAGAAGATTGAGTTTCATTTTGTCATGTACAAGCTTTTGCCAAAGCTGTTTGTGTATGTGTGTGCATCTTTTGTTTTCTGCTCATACGTTCAAGAAAATGCTCTCATATTTCACAAAATATTTGCCATTTATTTTTTTTCAGTGCAGTTTGGCCCTTTGATTAAGAGTTTTGCACATTCAAACTGTTGTAGAAACTGTGCCAAGGCAATCAGAAAAATCTACTGTCATCAGAAAGGAAACCAGAGTAGCATGCAACAGAATGCATAACTAACTTCAAGAGGCTGAGAGCATTTGCTGTTTACCTCTCTGTTTCATGTTTTAAGTCATTTTATTGGTGGTTTACACTTAATCTCACTTTATCTTCCTGTGAACCTTCACATTTCTCTTGTGCATACACAGACATTGTGTAATCCTGCTTTCCACCTGCTATTGCCACTGCTGTAGGCCAACACAACACACTTAAGGGTAAATTATGCCTTTCTTGTTCATGCTGAGATTGCAGTACTAATAACGCCCATCTGTCTAAGAAGCACACAATGCATCTGTACCACAGTCGCCTTAGAGCTGGGCTGTTGTGTTGTTCTGCTGTTGGTTTGTTCACAGATTAAGTGCAGCAGTGGTGACGTGAATCAAGCTGAACTGGAGAATATACTCATAATGATTTCACCTGGGAACTCGGATGAAACTGGTGATGGGTGACAGGCGAGGTGTCAGAGCAGGAGTGATGTTTGAAGTGTCGGTAAATCATGAACAACACGGTGGCAGCCACAACATCAGGTTCTGACTTCCTCCAGACACCACTGTGCAACTTGGAGTCACAATTTAAAACTCGTTTAAACAAAATCCAACTGTGGAACTCAGGCACAAGGTTTCTGTTTTCAGAGGTTAATCACTGATTGCTATTTTGGTCTCAACTGCATCTTACCTCAAGTGATGTGTTGAGAGATACAAAGAGGGAGAAAATCAGTACCATCTATTCATTTGTATGTAATCTTTGAATCCAGAGTTTAAACGATGCATTGTGCACCTTGCATTTCAGTTTTGGGTCATCTGTCACTATGAGAAAGTATCATACATTCGGGAGAATGCATCTTGCCAGGCTTTAAGCAATGCGCAACCACAGTGGTTTGGACCTAAAATGAGGAACTAGCAGCTACAGCATGAGTTATGGCGGTGGTTTAATGTAAGGTGTGCGTGATTGGACTTGGTGGAGAAGTTTGTTTGGAAACAACAACGGCTGCGAATGAGGTTAGCTGCTTGTCTGCTTGTGTTAGTTATATCAGAACTGGAGAGTATTCCTTCACTGAAAAAAGAGCCAAGGACAGCACAGAAGGCTGAAGGCTATTCTTGATGGAGAAGATGTTTTTCACTCTACTCCAGACTGGCTTCGGTAAACGTTTGACTGCATTATATGTTTGGTTGATGTGATTGGTTGAATTTTGCCTGCAATAGATGGTTCATCCAATCACCCGCCTACTTTCTGAGTGCCTGGCCTTTTCCAAACAGTTTTCAACTATGACTTCCCGCATGGTTCTGTGTAACAGACCATCTGGCGCAGTCAAGTTACTGGTGTTGGCAAGGTGGTGAAAAAAATATTAAACATCAAATTCTATTTTGGTAAATAGTTTTGTACTTAACCGGCTTCATTTTCTGCTCTTGTTGGTCTGATCAGCAAAAGCCTCACAATAAAACGGTCTCACAACAGATAATTTGCACTGTGGTGAACTTGGAAGAAGACAAGTATCCCTGCCTAAATTAAGCAAAATAAAGGAGCAAACGCTTAGGAAATTCAAATTAAGTTGGTTAGGTGTGAAGAGTTTCCTCTCACAATCCAAAGCCATGCAAGAATGAAGAATGTGTATCTTTCTATTCATGCTGTAATGAACTGATCTCCATGCCTTCTGCCCAAAGCATGCTGGGATATGATCCCACGACCCTCTCTGAATAAACCTCATAAATACATGAATAAATGCATGGTCACTTCAGCAGCAAATCAGATTGTTTGCGCGTTAAATAATGTGGTTGATAAAAAGTCTGTGAATGAGAAGCTAAAACAATGAAATTGAATGCAAATTACATTTTTCCCTTCACCATACGAAGTCTCATTATTAGCTGAGGTTTCTGTTCTCAGGCTCACACAGCCTTAATGAGTTTGATGCTGTGCAACAAAAGGAAAAAAACAACAACAAGTTCTTCTGATTTTAAATGCCATAATTCTCACCAGTGTGGTGTAACCTAGCATTCAGTCAGTGTAAATCAAAATAAACCTGACCAGCAATTCATTTTTACCTCCAGGGTAACATCTTACTGGCTCCAATCAATTGAATTACCAAACTAATGAAAGATCCACAGTCTATGTTCCAGCTCAAGACCCAGCAGGATTTTACTCATCACCAAGGACAACTATCAACCTCCACGGGTGAAGCACAAGACATTTAAACAGACTCTTCCACTGTTTAAAAAACCAAGCCACTTTCCTTTGATCTCACACTTTTTAAATTACATGTATGGACTGCATTTCCAATTCAGGCAGCATGCAAATTGTGCAGTCTCTCCATAGGAGGACACTCAGAACACCACTTTCAGTGTGACAATCAACTGTAAAATACTGCAGACGGTGTAAGTTAAAGAAAAACAGAGAGACCTAAAGTAGCACGCACAATATTTGTCATTGTATGTAGGTCAGAAGATTGCAATATTCTCTAGTCCATATGCACTTTCACAGATGTGCTTTGGATGGGAGGCAGCCGTAGTAGCAGGAGCCACTCCACCGTAATGCACTCATTCCAGTGCTGCCATATGGAAAAAGGTACACCTCCTGTTTTCTACAATAACAGTCATTATCACCTCTTACAGCACAACATCTGTACTCATGGGCATACATAAGAGGAATAAACACACAAAAAGAAACATGGACAGATGGATACAGAAAGGGAGAATGGGAGAGAGAAACCAGGGAAACAAGAGAGAGGAAATAAGAAATGTGTCATTTAACAGTGAAAGGAGGGCAAGGAGGGAAACAAGATGGATAATGATGCAGGAAAAAGGAGTGATGACAGAGATACACATCTAATTTTGCATTTTTTACCTGACAGGGAATCAGAAGACATGCTCTCTTGCTGCTGCATCTTGAATGTTGGCTCCAGTGTGAGAGACTGTGTGTGTGTGTGTGTGTGTGTGTGTGTGTGTGTGTGTGTGTGTGTATGTGTACAGAGAGTGAGCAAGCCAGCACGCCTCACTGTGTGTTTTGATGACGGAGTCCGCGTAGCAGCTCAGGGAGTGAGCAAGCGAGCAAGCAGAGCCAGGAGGAAGGTATGGGAGAAGAAATGAGCTCCCTTATTACCTCACCAAATGTCCCCAATTTTCATTCTCAATTTCTCTCATTCTCATCTTCTGCGCGTGTGGATGTGTATGTGTGTACACAAAACACATGTGGTGCGGATGGAGATTTATGAGGTGCACAGAGGCAGGGAGATGGGAGGAGCATGAGGAGGGAGGGATGAAGAAGAGGAGGTGCTGAAGAAAGGAAGAAAGCAATCACCTTTAGTGTCTAGGCTTACTCACTCAGGCACTGAGCCATTACTCTTCCCTCCCCTCCATGTATCCTTGCAACGCAGAGAACGCTAAGCCAGTTCAAAGCTTACATGTACCACAACATCTGTTTGGCTGCGTGAGATCTTATCTTTAGTGAATTTGCGTCCAGTGAATGGCAAAATGCCACCATGTTTACATGAGAGAAGACAGGAAAACCACTCACTCTACCATATTAAAACCTGCAAGGCTCACCACAAACTGCAAACACAAAGTATGAAAATCAAACTGTAGGTCTTTCTCGTTTCACTTTGTGTTCATTTACGTGTTAAAATGCAAAGTCTATATGTGGTTAGATGAGTCAGAGATTCTTAATAATATTGTCCTTGACTGCTAGATGAAAGTCTTCTTTTTCACTTGATTAAAACCCCATAGCCATTAGATGACACCAGGTCAGTTATCTGTATTTAATCTGCAGTTTATCGTTTAAGCAATGTTCCAAAACAGTGTAATTATGCCTGCTAATACATGTCATTATGCATGGCTGCTAACACACGTCATTATGCATGGCTGGGTACCTTTTTAAAGAAGCAATAACTTTTTTCCATGGATTTTACTAAAGGTCCCTACTCGCTCTTAAAAACAGCTTAGAATAATTTGGTTAGTTAGCTGTCCCACTCGGCAGCACTTCAAAGTCCTCTGTCCATTTCCAGTGCTTGAAATGGTCACACCTGTGTTCTTCCTGCCGTCTGCCAAAGTTTTTAACGTCACTGTTTCATGCAGTCCTGTTTTCTCTGCTCATTAGGCATATAATTCATCTTTCATACATGCTATTTGTTAGCTGTCTAACGCAAAGCTCCTCTCCCTCTGTGGCAGGCAAGAAGGTCTAAAGATGCCTGTAAACATGGCTGCCTTGTGAACCATATAACCAATATAAAAGCTCATTCTCAACCTATTTAAAAATTCCATCTTGGTTAATTGTGACGGCATTTTATTTAATACACATTAAATTCTTTGTGAAGGCAAAACTTTTGTAGAAGAAGGCAGCAAATATATAATTTTATTCTAAAATATGCATTTAGATTAAAAAAGTAGATCATCTGCCTCGGATGGTGCATAATTATGTTGCACCTCCCCAAGAAAGAGCAGTTTTTTTTGCCTGGAGTAGCTGGTCAGGGCTCCCAGCCCATTAGTAAACTGTCTGCCGCTAAAATATTCCTCCTACCTACAATGTATTCAGCCTGCTCAAAGCCCCTTTTCCAGATCGTGCCACTCTACACCAGGATTGCACTGATCTCTAGTCACCAAAACTGCAGCCACAATCCTTTGCCTATATCCAGTAGTAGCAATAAAAGTACTCAAAGTAATCATTTCATCTTGACAATGCTTTTTAATTCACCACTATACTACATAATTCAATGAGACACAAAATTTGCTTTGTGACCCAGACCAGGTGACTACAAGAGTGGTAATATACTTTGCATTGCACCCAAGAACTCTAAAATTAAGGGAAAAAATACATGAATGCTGTAACTGTTGCAGCAATAGCACATGAGACACTCATGGTTTTTAATCTATTTTCACAGGAAGTAAATTCTTCTACCTCTCATGCTATCAATTAGCAAATCTTGGTCATTTATTGTGAATACAGCCCTGATCCAGGCCTCTGTACTAAACACAAGTGGAAAATGCAGGATGTACTGTTTAAGAGGTAATATGTAAATGCATGTGAATGTAATGACATTAAAATGTAATTTTGCCCACTGTCATCTTAGCTTGGGAGGATATAAACTGATTTAACCTTATTAAGAACAACCACACTTGACTGATGTACCTTGATTTTCTTTGCTGATCTATTAAAATTCTGTCACAGTTTGGACACCATGTTGTACTTATTCAAGGTTTGAACTCACCGAATGTCTGCAAGAGAATAAAGGGAGAATGGGATTGTTTACAGAAACATAAATCAACACATGATTGCTCAATGTGCTGTTAAACAAACTAAATTATAAAAGCAATAGTACATTATGTCTATGTAGGTCTGGCAAGAGAGCCTTTTCTCAAACTGACCTCGTTTTTCACAAGAGCAGCTCCCATAGTCTTTTGAAAGGCTTTTACTTGCACCATGTTGACCTCTCTAAGTTGTTGTTTAATTATAGATTTGTGTCAGGGGCCTGTTTTTATCCATTCATGAGAATGGCAGGCCACTGTGCTGAGAGAGAACTGTTAGTTTACAGTTGCTTAGTTGATGGCAGGTGTCATAAGTAAAGTTTGAGTTCCTAACCTGCATTTGCCCATGACCTGAACCTGGGTTGTTGTAGCACTGTTAGACACACCAGAGAACAACTTTTGATGATGATGTCAACTGTGTTGGGAAAGCTAGAACATTTAGTTAAATTATTAGAGAAAAACTGTTAATCTTACTGCAGCTGTCACCATCTAGACATTCATAAAAGCTATAGACAAATTTTCTTGATAGCCAATTTATACAAAGTTTATAAAAATTTCACTCACTCACTGTCCTTGCCTTGCTGGATCACATAGCTGTGTGTGTGTGTGTGTGTGTGTGTGTGTGTGTGTGTGTGTGCGTGCATGTGTGTTAATATCCGCAGTTTATTGAATTGCTCAGTGGGAGCATGTTATCAGCGTCTGTTTCTTACAGCTTATTCTTAATTATCCTGTTCCTAACTCTGAATCCCATGGAGAATTTAATGACACACAGGAAGAAAAAGAACCAGCCATATGGCTCTGTGTTTACACAACTTGGATAATATTCATGTAGAAATATATATATATAGTATATTCTTAGTTGTCTCAACCAATTAGGCTTTGAATGTACTGCATAGAAGGTCTTTACAGAAGTACAGATGGATTCAGTTGAAAATAATTAATTGCAAGCAAGTGAGATTCTATATGAGGTGCATGATTAGGATTATTTAGAGGAGCGAAAACTATGTATCTGATGCACCGCAACTGTGCTTATCAAGGTTGGTATGCTTATATATAGATATATTCTTATAATAATAATAATAATAATAATAATAATAATAATAATATATAATAATTATTATTATTATTATTATTATACACTTCGGCATACTAACTCACTATATAAGGTTGAATCTGCTTTCATATGAAGTAGAGTAGAAAAGCTGCACTAAAACCTCTTTCATATTACTTCTTGGTAGGACAGGAGTGGAAGTGAGTAGTAGCGGCAACATACTAGAATTGGATTGGATTGGGAAATGAGCAGAACGACATGCAATATACAATAATCCACTATGATTCTGATGTGAATATCTGGTAACAGTTGCATTTGTTTATGTATATTGAAACACCACCATCTAGTGAACATTTAATCAAATTGCAGGATGCTTTTTCACTTTTTGCAATGATGAATTGCAATATTTATTTCACATGTCATTGTTCACCAGTTGGTCATAGCTACTTACAAAGGCACGCAAGTACCTTTAAGTATGTATGGCATATTTAAACATGGCTTGTACACACATCCTGTACATACACACTGACGTGAATGGATACATAAGCATTGACGCAAAAGACACCCCCCCCCCTACACACACACACACACACACACACACACACACATACACACACACACACACACACACACTGCCACCAAATGACCTGGTCTCTGGACCTGATCGGGAGGATTATTTTGGCTCCATAGACACAACACCCGACTAAACCATGTCTGCAGTTCCTTTGTTGGGGCCTCATGCCGGAACCGCTTTCTGCAGACTGAGGCTTAGTGTGTATTTTTGTTAGAGGTAAGCATGCATGGCTGACCTGTATAACAACAAATATGGCATGGTATAACTGGCAGATCTGTTGTATTTCAGAATACTGAAGTTTCTTTTGAAATTTAAATAACAGAAAATGTACAGGCATAATAATAGAATTCAACAAAATGTATGCGCCATCTCTGTGGTCATGTACCACATCTCCTGTTATCAGATAATAAGACCTGTGATGGTCTCAAGATGTGAAAGTGTGAGCTGATTACCAAATTAGTGTGTTTTCATTATCCAATTAAAGATTTATTTTTGCGAGACTACTCCTGCGGAGATCAAGGATTTGTTATCCAGGGGAGACCTGCTCAGATCAGCACCAGTTCTTCAAGATACAAACAAAACAATGAAAACAGTTTATAATTAAGTGATTAGAAATACAAGTGGGAGACCGGGTCAACTGGCACAATGCTGCCAAATGCTATCCTTCATATCTGTTAATTTATTCTCAGTAACTCTGTGTAGCTTTATTTGTGGTTATACAAGGTGGCAGTAAATGTTTTATTGGTCCAAGCTGAGCTAACTTGGAGCAGACCAGCAACTAATTAAACATAAATACAGCACACATAGCAAACAGTTACGTGTCGCTTACTGCGTCTTTTGCTTCAATAAAGGAAATCTTCTACAACCTGACAGATCAATAACCTATCGAACTGTAGGTGCATGTAGATCGCTCTCATGTCCTGTCCTTCTGAGAATTGCTGATCAGGTTTCTTTTGGAAGGCTTACGTGTCTTTGATCACAGCTTTACAAAATCGTTTGACTTTTGAATTCATAACAATAAATATAGTAAAAGGATATGTTACAGTATAGACAATGATATGTTCAACGACAGGCAGTACATGGCTACAATATACCTTGTGATGTACCATATGATCAGCACAAACTATTACTTATTAAACATGCCTTAAAGGCAAACCTTAATGGCTACCTAAAAGAGTGATAATCTTAAATGAATACATTAAAAAAGCAGGACAAGAGAGCATGTTTCATCAAATGCAAATTACTCAAAGATCATTGCTATTAAAGGTAAGTGTTATCTGTATAAGTGTTGAAACAATGTATAAAATGAGGTGTGGGTAAATAATACATCAGATAGAGAGGTGATTCCTCCATTTTGTCTATTATTTTGTACATTTTGGACTCTCACTCATATTTACTCTACGACAGGCTTTTTAATTTGTCATCCATTTTTAAAACTTTGTTCGTGGTCAGATTAAGCCATGCTAAGTCAGTTTTACGAGTGAGAGTTAACTGAGAACATCATAGCGGTACCCTTAAATCCAAAGCCTTCAAACAACAGCCTGTGAACATGGCTCAGCTTCCTTGTTCGGCTGCTGTCCATACAGAGATTGGCTTTGATTTTAATGATGTATCAGTCATCTGGAATTGCTTCATCCATCCACTTCATGTAAGCCAGACTGCCGTCCTCCACCCGGAAGCTGAGGACTTCTGGGTTTGCATAAGGGTGGAAGAACCTTGACGTGACCCACACAAACACAAACATGTCAGATAAGATATAGAATTTCTTCATATAGCTGAACTCTAGGCAACCTAGTACAGCACCTTTTAACAGGCAATTCAAAGAGATTTACATGAGACATACGGCATTACGACAAAACAAAAGGCATTATAAAAAGGCAAAATAAAAAGAGAATAGACATTACAGTGCAGCTACAAAGAATAAAGAGTTGCACATTTAACTTAATAAATTGCAGTGAAAAACAGAAACCTCTTAAGCCCTGATTTAAAAGAACTGAGAGTTCTGAATCAGCTGCAGCTTTATAATCAACTTTTTAGAGAGACTTTTAAAGACATCACTAAATCACATTAGTCAACCCCACTGAAAATAAATGAAAGTTCTTTAATTCTTGATATATTCTTGTGGTGATAGTAGGCTGATTTTGTAATTGTCTTAAAGTGGATGTTAGAATTTAGGAATCCATGACTACACCAAGATTTCTGGCTTTGTTTGTGGTCTTTAACATTATTGACTGAAGCTGAGCACTGACTTTTAATCCTCCTTGGGTCCAAAGATCGTTTCAGTTTTATCTTTGGTTAACTGGAGAAAAATTTATTTGTTCGATGCATTTACTCAGTGATTGTATGGGACCTTAGTCACATTGTGATATCGTTTTGTAAATATGTGCATATGTCTGCATAATTCTGATAAGATTTTGTTATTTTCCATAGCCCGTGCCAGTGGGAGCCTGTACATGATAAAATTAAGAGGCCAAGAATGGAGCCATGGGGGACTCTACATCAGTCATATCCAGTTTTCCAGTCTTTCTAGTGATATGTTAAGGTCGACCAATGCTCAAAGGCAACACTGAGATATAATTAGACTGAAACCTTTCCACTGTCTGTTTTTGAGTGGATGTCATTCAAGACCTTAAGAAGAGCAGTCTCAGTGGTGTGGTGGGTCAAAGTCCTGACTAGAAAGAAAATGGTTAAGGGCAGGAAGGTGTTAAGCTTTTTAATAGCCTTTTCAATAATTTACTTATTTTTATATGAGCCTATGATTGTTCATTGGTGAATTGTCTAAATTGTTATTATATAAAGGATTGGATTATTAACTGCAGTTTTCAGGGCCTGTGGGAAATAAAGACTAAAGACTTGTTGACTGTTGACTATTCACAGAAAATCTGATGCCATGCAGTTTTTCTTACCAGACTACCTGTACCTTAGTGGGAGCAATGTCATCAATAACATTTGTTAATTCAGAATCAAAATTATCTACAAGATCACTGACTGAGACCAAAGTGGGTGCAGGCGTCAAAGAGAAAGCCTGAATGAATATTTCACTGGTGTTTTCAGTGATATACTATTGCTTGATTATGATTAAGATGCAATTAAGATTAGAAAGTTATATCAAAGAAAACAAAAGACTGGTCAAAAAGAGCAACATCAGTCACCAGAACCATAGAAATGTTAGGACCCTTGGAGATGATAAAGCCCTGAGTGTGCCTCTTATTGTGTGTGGGCTCAGTCAGGCGGATGTCCTTGATGTTGATTTGAATTGCAGTGATTCGAGATAAAACAGTGCAGCTTACTGACATCCATTAACACCACATTTAGTTCCTTTGTCTCTCATCTGAGCTGAGCTGTTCCATCTTTTTCTCTTCTGTCTTTGTTATTGGCACAGTTGGTGTTACAAAATGTGCTTGGGCAGGGTGGAGACAGCAGTCGTGGGGGGGGGGTGAATTTAATGCCAGCGTTAACCAGCACTTCCATTGACGGGAGGAAGAATTAGAAGACTGATCCACAAGCTGGTTGTCAACATGCTGAAATTGAGGCTGTGATGTTTGGCTTCATGGTGCTGAAGCTGCTGTGTATCAGGGCACACCATCTTAGACCTGGCCGTTGGGTGTCACAGGCTGAATCAAAAACGGTCCATCAGTACTTTAACCACAAGAGATTGGAGCTATCAATAAAAGATCCCTTTCAGACCGCAGGTTTTGCTGAGCCATGTATTCTGTGATAAGAGTCTGCTGAACCTGTTGATCACTCTGTTGACCATTGGCATTCTCTCTGCAAATATCACTATTACTTTGGGGTTGTTTGTTTATTATAGCGGCGTCTCCCACTGTAATTACAGTCAAATGTTAAATTGTCTCAACTTTTTTTCCACAAGGCTTTTTCCTCTCAACACCTGTCTCATGGAGATTTGGTTCAAACCTGTTTCCCAGTTGTAATGTCGGTTGTGGCTGTGGTCTGTGTTTATGCCCCCCATTGGCTGCCCGCCAGGAGTCGAAGTTGGCTGAACTGAATCTGTAAATTTTGCCCTCTGTGGGAGTAAAGTATTGCACTTATCTTTAGGTTCTGCACCTAGATTATCCCAGCAGGTAGAAATCCCATTCATAGCACATGAATTCACCGGTTTTGTTTCAGTGAGTCTTGGAAGTGATTTAGAGAAAGCTGTCCATTTACATATTTTTGAGCTGAGTTCTGATGAGCCAAACCACCAGCAGAAGACATTGGCAGAGTGCTGTGGAGTTCAGAAGAGTTCTTCAGTTCAAATATACATCTCTTGAGTACAGCAATCTTCTACAACAATTTATGACAGTCCGCGCACTTTATCGAGTCTGATGAACAGAGAGGCGCAGGGCACAATTCTGTCAGTAGTTCACTAGGTTGCTGTTACTGGGTTAAATTACTGTTACGGTTTTGTAGTAGGAAAAAGTAAGAAAAAGTAGCAAAAATAACAGTTAAGCAGAGAGTGTCTAAGCTAAGTGAAGAGAGGAGTAACCATAAGGAGTTGCTTCCCAGTATACCTAAAGGAGGTAGTGCTTTAAAATCATCCAACGTTCTTAAAATGCATTACCTAAAATCTTCATACTGTATGTTGTAAGAGATGCAATTTTAACAACTCCATCAGCAACACAAATGGCCAAATGAGAAGACGTAGATGATTAATGCCTAAAAGCTAATTTGATGGTGTTGTAGTGGAATGGTATTTCAAGTAGCATATGGGAACTTGCATCCCAGTAGTTAAAGCATCAACCAGCTTCTGCGATTCTGCTACATAATTATTCAAACAACCAGTTACAATCATGATCAGACAGTTATTTAAAAAAGGGGGAAAATCTGCTTTTGAACGTGGATGTTTTATTAAAAATAATGTTCAAGCTGAAGCAACTAAATCCTGTCCTACTTCATCCAATTACTCTAACACACAGCAACAGTAAATTGGAACACTAGTATATTATGAAATGTATTTATGCATAAAATATCACAATTTGTTTGATCACAGTGACTGCTTTTGTTGAACAGTACAGTGGCACAGTAGCTTAACTATTTGTTAACCTCTACAGTGACGTGAGGACATTTTAATGTAAACAACATATGATAATAAATGTAATGAACCTTTAATGCATGTTATATTAAGCATGTTAAGCAATGAGTTGACTTGAACAGTAATTTAAAGTACAGCTTTCAGTAATCTAAAATAACCTTTACATAAAACAGCCACTCACCTCACACAGTCTATGAGTTGCTGGATCCTCGAGGTCTTTGTTTTCACCAGCTGCAACAACAGTTACGTCTTATCTTACAGTTCTGTTTTCTGTTAAAACATGACTGTTGAATAAATGTCGATCAAAAAAGGACTCTCTAAGTAAGCTTACCATGAGAATTTCACTTGCATCCTGGATTTCGCCTTTCCAGTAGTACCTAAAGAGACAGAAAACACAAGACATTAGGAATGTACAGTATACTACCCATGTGCATGAAGGACTGCACATTAATAGGGACTTACAAGTACTAGTGCATGATACAGAGCCTTTAAAAAAGGTAAAAACCTGTTCATGACAAACTGTATGATTTGACAGAACACAGCATTTAAGCCTTGCCCAACCATTTATTATGGCCAGTGATTTACAGCGATACTGTCAAACTGTTCCCGAGAGGCTTTTATGGTGTCAAGTGCAAAACTTTCTCTTTGCTTCAAACATGGTGCTTTTTTTGGTGGACTTTGACAGACAGCCAAACACAAACTAAGAACCCTATATTTAAGTATTTTCCACGTGAAATGTCAAAATAAATGGTGACGACTAAATAAGCTTGGATATAACTGAAATGCATTCATTTCACACCTGCACTCACACATGTAAAACCACCTCCATCACCACCCTCACCCCTAAACTAATCCAACCACATCATCTATTTTTAGGCTGAACCTCTGTTTGGTTAACAGGTTTAACGCTGCCCCCCCCTCTGCACCGTAAGTTTTTCCTTCTTTGTTCCTTTTGTGGTTATGCATTAACATGAAAGCTAACCCATGCATACAAACACATGACCGCTTTGAAGGCTAACTGCCACTCAGTTTCTAGTGATGGGAAAAATGCAGCCCATTCATTTCATTCTTGTGGTTTCCTAGGCAACCAGCTCTGTAGCAGAGAGGAAAAAAAAGAACATATGTGTTTATGTCTTTATGTGAAGGACGTTATAACTGAGCTAGTCTTTGTGGTTGTGCGTCAGCTGGGTACAAAGTTGCGACAAGGGAGGGGGCAAACGTGATTTACATTGTGGAGGTCCTGGAGAGAATGTTAATACTGGCTGCCAGCCGCCTCTCCATGATTGCCCTGGAAAAACAGGCAGAATGGTAGGGAGCGTGGTTTGGAAACGGAGGGCGCAGACATGGAAAGAGAGGAAAGAAAAATTAAACACAAACCACCAGCTGTTTATCAATTACAGCATGAAACTGAGCCCTTCATTACGTTGCTCTTCAAGCAGGCTGCAGGACAGGACTTTTATGCACAGAATTCAGAGAAGATAGTAAAGTTTGCTGTCTGCTGCTGCTGATATTATAGTTTATTACCAGCTCAGCTGTCCCCCCCCCCCCCCTCCTCTAACCACGTGTTTCCAAAGGAGGTGATTTACATTTCTGGCACCCGCACTTTGGCTTCTTTCTCTCTTGACACGTGGTAAATAGACCTCATTTACATGCAGCTAAAATGCCAACAAAGGAGATGAGAGTGCAAACACAGTGCTCTACCAGTTGTGGGTTTGACAAGACTGTATTTCTTCTCTGGACGGAAAAGTCAAACGTATGACCAGCTGACTGACTTTGAACCGTTTAAATACCAAAGGAGAGGAATTTAACTGACGCCCAGACTAAAGGAATAGTTTGATTTTGTTTTGACTTTTTTTGGTGAATATCCTTATTCCCTTTCTTGCTGAGAGTTGGATGAGAAGATTGACACCACTCTCATGTTTGTGTGGGAAATATTAAGCTAGAGCCAGTGGTCGGTTAGCTTAGCTTAGCACAAGGATTGGATGCGAGGTGGGGGGGGGCTCTTTATTTCACATGTTTTATCTCTCACAACTCACAAGTAGCTCCACATTCACTGCACGAGTGTGGAATCGATCTTCTCATTTTACTCTGAACAAGAAAGCAAATAAGATAACACTCGGAAATTCCCCATTCGTGTGCATTTCCCAAGATGTTTGACTTCTTTGAGAGGAATCATTTAGGCCGAACATTACAAATGAAACCATGTGTACACTTCAATTTCACAGCGCTACACGAGTGTGATGCCGAACTTTGTTTGAGTCAGCACTGTACCTGCCAATGTCCTTGGCTGCCTGCTCATTGGGACTGTTGATGAGAAGGACAGAGTGGTGGCCTGGTACATAGCTCCCCGTGAGGGCTGAATGAAGCTGGACCCCAATGGACCACAACCCAGGGTACATGGACACGGACAGGACCAGGAGCTATAGGACAGGGGGTTTGAGTGTGGTGTAGATGCAACAAGGGACAAAAACATCTCAAAGTGCTGAAATGTCCAAATAAAAGACTTTAAGAGCATGTCTGTGGCATCCCTGGGTGATGTTCCTATCTGTCATAAATTATCTGGACATTTGGCTGTTTCATGTTATATTATGTTTGGATGAGGCGAAGTTATAACTCAATTTAATTATCTGCTGCCCTCTGAGAGGATTGCCATGTTTGGATTGGATTGGATTGGATTCAGTATTTATCCTCTTATTATTTGGCGCTGTCTGTCACAGATAAATGAGTATAGGCCTGGGCTTGGACCAATTTATAATCTGTCCTACTTCTCTGCACAGCACACATCACAGCCAGAGCCATAGATGGACGGAAATCCAACACAAATATGTTAGAAGGAAAAAATAATAATAAATAAATAAATACAATTAATAACAATTTAGCATTTCCGACATCAAAGCCTTCGTGTTGTGGATTACGTAAGACTTTTCTGAAAGTTTTCAAATGACAAATGATCATAAAGGTTCACATCAATAATCACAGCTCTTACCAAACATAACATGAGCAGCACAGAGCGAAATACAGAGTAGAAGACAGCCTCTTTATGGCACCGCGGGAACAGCCACTCCATCCTGTAAGTGGCAACAAATGTCATTCCCAGAGTCCGGCCGGTTGCTGATAATAAGAGGGACAAACTGTGCTCAACTTCGTTTATAAACCCCCCTCTCAGACGTTCTCCGGGGACAATTAGTGTTCCGCCATTTTTTATTTTTTTCTTTACAACCGCTTCCTTAAACAGCTGCTTCGCTGGCGCCTCACATTCTAAAAAAAAGTACCTTTACAGGAGAAGTGCATTGTGTTGACAGGTACTGTAGGTCGGATGGTCAAAGGCAGGGATAAATCCCCGCGCCGTCCTATTGGTTGCTTCGTACTTCCTGACACGCCGGCGGCCAATGAAAATAGCCGGCTCACCTCCGCTGCCCTGCCTCCGGGCCTGGGTCATAATCGGCTTTGGCGTCTTTACCATATAAACACAACTTCTGTCAGCCTCAGGGCGTGTCTGTGATGGAATTAGAAAGCTGTGAATTCACGAAATCAGAGGGTAAAATTGTTTTAAAAACAGTGGTGGAAATCAAAATAGACCACAATGTTGTAATAAACTATAAACCATATTTTGGAATTAAATCTCCTACATTATGCATGCTATGTAGGCTACCTGTTATCAGTGGTAGTGTCTAAGTACATTTTAATATCCAATTTAGGATACCATACCCATTTCAGAGGACAATATTGCAACTATACTCCACTAAATGTATTTGACAGCTGTATTAGTTATTTGTAAATTGATGTTACGTGTAAAACACATAATCAGCTTATAAAATATGATGCATTATTATGTAGGAAACTACCCAATAGTGGGCTGTCAAGTCATTAAAAATAGCTCCACCTCAACCTGCTGCAACATTATATTAGTATCTATAGTAACAGCGCTGTCTCTCTCAAATTTAACAGGGATTTCTTTCTTTCTTTCTTTCTTTCTCTGGGGGCGAATTGACCCTGAACATTCAGTAGGTAACTTAACTGTGTGGGATAACAAACTGTAGACTTACAGAAGTGGGGCCTGTGAAACCCTTAACAATGAGACAGTTTAAAGTCTAGTTTACTGTAACTTTATGTTGACATGTTTTGTAACAGATTAAATCAATATGATAACACAATGCATACCACAACAGTCCACATTTATTATTCATTATGTGGAAAAAACAATGTTAACATTAAATAGTCAGCAGCCGCAATATGGCAACTAAAATATTATAGACTCTTTAGTCACTGCAGTGAGTTGTAAACTTTAAAGACTTAAAGCCAAAGCCCAGATGGTAAAATTTCATTTGCATCATTAATGTAAATGACATTAAAGTTTAAGGGACACTTCTTGCAAAGTAATATAACTGGTATGAGTCTTTTAAGAGAAGAGGTAAAGGAAGTATAAGCGTTCAGTAGTATGTAATTAATGCTTCAGCATCTGCAAGACGTGTTTGTTTTTACACTGAAAGCGCTGATTATTCTGTAACAATAGGAAAACAGTGCAGATAAACACATGCAAAGATACAGAGTCAAACAAAGGGGTTCTGTGCCTTCCTGTTTTAGGGACTGAGATTGGTTTCTCTGGCCAATCATATGCAAACACACAGATCTACATGTGTGGGTACACAAATCACACACATCACTGGCACACACACATTGACTATAGCAACTTGTACTTTCAGATAAGCCAGACAGGAAAGCCAAGGACCCTGCTAGGCTGCATGTGAATGAAGAAGATATGGACAAACAGGGATCTTACAGAAATATGAATAATTCAGAGGTAGATTTTTTGAAGCAAGAACAAACCAAACTGATTCTACTTGGCATTTCATTGGCCGGTATGAAATAGAAGTTTTGTGAGAAACTACATAGCAAGAAACATTATGGCAGTATCGGCTGCATGTTATGAACATGCATTGAAGCTCTAATGTTATAAGTTGGAATATTTGGGCTTCAATGGGCTGTGTACTGACAGTCAGTTCATATAAATAAAAAGTCAGTTCATTTAAGCTTTGGATTTTTAAAAAGTTGTTATGTGCAGGCTGTCCACCTGGGGGAGTTGTGGGTCCATGCATATCTCTCCTATCTCATCCTTCCATTGTGAATAAATTACATGTAGAGTGTCCATTTTGTATAAAACTCATCGACTGAAATGAAATGTAAATGCTCTGACAAAGCAAGTTGCATGACTCATCCCATTCCCCTTTTTTTTTCTTGACCTCTTCCCTGCCAGCCTTGTGTACTGCCCCCCTCCCCTCCTCCTCCTTCATCGGCCACAGCCAGCCACAGCACAGATCAGAGAGGGAACAGCAGGGGGCACCACTAGCATCACAGCCACAGAACAAACCAATTTATTTCCCAAGCTCACACAGGCTTCATTTGAGAGCCCATCAGAGGGCTCCAATAGAGCCACTTAAGCCACTGTTCCCCAACATAAAAGAAGGCAACAAAAATAGAGATAGGAAGAAAGGCGAGGAGCCGGAGGAGAGCGTTTGATCTGCTTGTTCTGGGGCATCACTCAGAGGGGTTCGCTTCCCCTAAGGAGTACTGAAGCTTGTTTGTCCCTTAGAAGTCTAATGTGAAAAATAGGATAATTTTTTACTTCTGTTTATGCATCTTGTATGTTTGTGTATAATGAGGCCACAAGGTTCACAGTAAGAGCAGAGAGGAGAAAATGAGAGATAAGAAGAGTAAAGGTACAAAGGCATCTGGCAGGAGGTGACTTGCCTAATTTGCCATTAAACTATGATTGTCTCTTGCTGGGATCAATGAAGTTGCCTCGCTGTGAAATAAAACGAAATCTAGCTGGGAGAATTAGAGAGATGAATAGAGACTAGGAAACAAAGACTTGAGGTGTGTGAATGCGGAAATGGAGAGGTTACAGAGTATGAAAACTCTGAAGGGCTAGGTACATTTTCTAAATGTCCTGTAGCCTCTCACTGCTGTTGTCTCCCTTCCTGTGTGGCAGTGTCATTACTGTATTGAATGGGAGGTAGAGGATATAGGGAAAGAAACTGCACACTGCTGGACACACAGAGGTCAGCTGAGTCCTAATGAAGGGACTTTCCAGGCTGTGATTACCTCTAAAGGAAGAGTCTGGTCCTCCCAAAGAGGTTAATTAAAAAAGTCATGGGGCTGAGCAGGGAAGTGTCTCCATCACCACTGTGAACCCCAGTGACCCCTCCATCCTCGAGGACGGACAAAGCCATCCATCACAGCTGATTCCTGGGCTGTCTGACTCCTGCTGGTGCCACTGAAATCCCTGAGTGACTGAAAACACAGAAGTGTATGTAGCAGAGCTGCAACTCTGACAAGCAGTGAGAAAAAAATACACCACCGCCGAGACATCCCCTGCTGAAGTCCCTCAGGTAATGAAACCTCTCCCCTCTCAAGGATCAGACAAACACCATATCTTGTCATCTTCCCTCCATTCTCTTCCTCGATCTTCTCCTTTCTTTCTTTTTTTTTGCCCTCTATGTCACAACAACTGGAGCGCACAAGGCCATTTATCAGAAAACTGAACTGACAGTCATGTTGTTTATTTCGTCTGTGCTCTCCAGAAAAGATTGCAAAAATAGAGTATTTATGTTTGTTTAGCAGCATAAGCACACTGTTCATATCCAAAACCATGGGTAAGCATTTAAGCCCAATGCTTGCCGCGAGGAGAAAGCAGAGTATGGGAGCATTACCTTCCTCGAACGCAGCATGAAAGAATCAGCCATCATCAATGAAAAAATCCCTCCAGCAATCCCTGCTGAGAAGAAAGATTTGTCATCCCTATTTCCCTTGTTCTTGGAGATGAGGACAAAGGTGTGATAGCGTGCAAAATGGAGAGACACAGTAAGGACAGGCTGACTGAGGGAGGATAAGAGGAGAGACAAAGAGAGAAAAATGGAGCGTTTTGCTTGATTGGGTTTGAGAGAGGACAGAGAGCCTGGAGCGGTCTTACAGGAAAAAGTTAAACATTTTCATAAATCTGCTTCTTCACCTGCAGCGGCAGGAGGCGCTTATATCACGTCATGCTTGATTGGTTGAGAGGGGAGAAGCTGATCCCAAATGTGGGGGGCCACCTCCACCTCAGAAAAACCTGTGCTTCCTCATTACACTTTCCTCACTGAGCCGTCTGCAGCATAACCATTCCTCGTGCTGACGCAGGTAGAATGAGCTCATTCCCTCTCCATTCACAAGCTGAGTGCACCAAAATTCAGAGAAGGGAGAAGCATAATAAGTTCAGACTCCAAGTTAGAGTGCCTGCAGGCAATAAAGTGGAGGATGAACAGTGGAGACTTGATGGAATAAGAGTGTGTGCGTGCATGTGTTTGAGAGGGGGTTACATCTGAAAAAAGAATGCCGCTCATGACTGCACCATTCCTTCACTTAAATTCCACAAATCCTCTCAAAAGTACTTATTCTGAATATTTTCCACAGGGATGCTATGATCGACGACTCTTACATTTAGAGTAATGAGTGTGAAATACACATGCGCACACACACAAACCTGGTGAGGATTCCTAATGATAAAAACTGATTCATACAGGTGGGTTCATGGCTGGGGTGGTGGCATACTAATACAGTATGCATGGAAGCACTCTCACACCGAATGCATAACAATACACACATACAAAGAATTTTTTAGATAATACATAGAAATGGATGGAAGCAACAAACCCTTAAAAGGTTCAGTTCTGTGGAAATTCTGTCTGTAAAAGCAAGGTCATTGCTCTACTCAAAAACATGGCCCTGGAAAAAAACCTGATGTGCTGTCCAATGCAGCTCACACTCTGAGCTGGGTGTATAGTTAGGATGTGGGTGTGTGTCTGGGAGTGTGTGTGTGTGTGTGTGTGTGTGTGTGTGTGTCAACCTCAGACACTCAACCATCAGACAGCGGCATTATGGAAATGCAGGAATCACCATGAAAAGGGCAGCCAGAGGGATGCTCAGGGCAAGATTTTATGTACAGCACCTAATCAGCCACCCAACTATCTTCGCTCCTATTTACCCTATTTGAGTCACCCATACACCTGCAACCACTTTATCTAAGTTCTTCTTCTCCCTCTTCAAGTCACAATGTCAACCTATTCCTTATCTCACATTTTCCTTGCTGTTTTTTTTTTTTTACCCCTGCCATATACTATACCCTGCATTGCAGTAACCCCGGTGTAACCTCCCCCGCACACCTGTTCCCACTTCTGCATGAGCCCAATAGCATATATGTATCCCCGCCACTTTGTCTATTGTGCTTTTGCTTTTGTGGTCCAGCCATTTTTTCTGCCTGCCTGAGCTTTGTCTGATATGACCTCCTGCCTGCCCTTTGGA